TTTTGATTTTTGGCCCATCATCATTCCAATTTTCACAGTCAAGGAGAAGAATTCAGAGTTGCACCGAATAAACAACACCCTCAAAACTCTTAAACGCTAAAATCGGGTTAGGAACTGCATTTTGAACGATTTTGCAAAATTGTAAACGCGGTTTTGTTTTGAGAATAAATACCCATATACTCATCCAAAAAACTAACGGTTTTGGCTGACAAAAAAATTAAAAAATGAATACGTAAATAATAGGAATCAAATAATAGCTTCGTTGGTTTTTATTGTATTTAATTCTACTCTGTGATTTTGTATTTATTTTTTAATATTACCGAATTTTGAATTAAATTTAAGAAAAATCGAACGAAAAGCTGCCGTAGGTAGGATAAAAAAATGCATAGAAAAATAATACGAAATTTATTGTTTCATGTTTTACATTTTTGGTGGTCCGATTTGGCTCGTTCCGACTTATATAATACCTGCAATAGAAGGAAGACTTTTGGGAAAGTTTTATCCCTATAACTTTAAAACTGAGAAACTACTTTGCGTAGAAACGGACGGACAGACAACATCGAATCGTTCAGTGATGCTGATCAAGAATAAATATACTTTATGGGTCCGGAAATGTCCATTACTGCGTTGCAAGTTTCTGAAATCTTTGTAATATTTTAAGGGGGATGACCATGTAAAGGACGGGGTAGGTTTTTCCAAAATCAAAATTTTTTTAATAAATTTTTCCCATTGTGGGTTTGGTAAAAGTGTACACGAGAATTTGTATTGTTTATTAATAGCCATCTACTTATCCGTTCAAGTCGGAGAAGTCAATACCAGGCGAAAAGGTGAATCGCATTTGTTGCGTTTATACGTATCGATGAAATAATCTTTTTTAAAGAACGCCCTCTTTAAAAATCATAAAATCCCCGATTTCAGGCATATTTATAGCCGTTAATCGTAGAGTAAAAGGGTATATTATATTCGTGCAAAAGTATGTAACAGGGAGAAGGAAGCGTTTCCGACCCTATAAAGTATATATATTCTTGATCAGGGTCACTAGCCGAGTCGATATAGCCATGTCCGTCTGTCCGTCCGTATGAACGCTGAGAGCTCGGAAACTACAAAAGCTAGAAGGTTGAGATTTTCCACATATATTCTTGGGCTTTCTACGCAGCGCAAGTTTATTTCAGCTGAGAGCCACGCCCCCTCTAACGCCCACAATCGCCCACTAACAATTTTAAAATGTGTCTGGCGCCCACACCTTTAAAGATTTCCGAGTAGTATAAATGCAATTTTGTTGTGTATACTTATACCTATCGAAATGTAGAAAACATTTTTCAAATCGGACCATTCAATAAAAAGTTATACGCAATCAAAAAAATGGTATATATCCATCTCCCTCGCACTCCCTTTAGCCGAGTGACGGGTATTAGATAGTCGGGACAACAACCCGACTATAACGTTCTCTCTTGTTACTTTTAAATTGGTCCCTTCGAGTTAGATACTACACAGAGAGAATTTTTCATGAACGGTGCACTTAAATTGAGAATTTTCTACTCAAAATAACACCAAGTACTCACTCTAAGTAAAAATACTCACTTTCAGTGCCAATTTTTTCAATAAAATACCTTGGAATTGAGTCTTTTTAGAGATTTTTTTTTGAAAAATTCTTCTTGAAAAATTTTCTCTGTGTACTTGAAATAGAAAGAATATTTTTTTGAAAGTTTTAAGCGGATAGCACTATAACTCAGAGAAAACAATGATAAATATATTTTGTGTCGGAAATGCCTCCTAAATTGCGCTGCTAAATTATTAAAAGTATGTTGTTGAATTTGCAAAAACCGCCACAAATGACAAAAAGAATCCGCAAAGTACCAACTATTCAAAAATTATTAAATTTTTTAAATCCACTTACAAACATTGCTGATGAAATTAAAGAGGTCCACCCCAATTTATATTACCGATCTCCTTCAGTAATAATCACTTTTAATTATGAGCAAAGAAGCGTCTCGACAACATCCGCTGCGTTTATACCGCTCCCATTGTTTCCATTGCTTTCGAGTCATCTTCGACTGGTTTAAATCACTCGCAATCACAAAATCATCGTCGACACAAGCTTGAGAAGAAGAAAAAAGCCGAAATAATAGTTCTCTAAATTAGTAATTAGAGGTTAGAGGAAATACTGTGTGTGTCAATTTGTATACCCTTTTCTCGTTCAATAGCCGGTTCTGCTGTAATCGTTCAAAAGTGTCTGAAAGGAAAAAAAGAATTGGTTTCGCACCCTTTAAAGTAGAGTAAAACATAAGGCCCGGTGGTTATTTGTAAACAACATTGCCAAAAATGCATGTCTATAAAATCAAGGTAAACTTCCTCGACCGCTCATTGGAAACGCCTAATAACTCTGAAGTACTAAAGTGTATAAACCAGGGCCAGAAAATAAATGTTACTTTTAAAAAACTGAAATAAAAAATCAACCATTAAAAAAATGGTTGGTTCTTTGCACCTCATATATGCCTTCTAACAAAAACGTTTATTTCTTAGTTTTTAAAATTTAAATTTAAATTGACGGTTATTAGTGCGTTTTAAAATACATATTATTCATTATTCTTTAATTTTTACATTATCAATTAAATATAACATTAATTTTTTAGTCATACAAGAACAGTTATATCTGATTTTTATTAATAAAAATAAAAAATAAAAGTCTCCCAAAGACTTATTCTGACACTACGTAAATAAATGTCTTTGCCATATATCTCGCGACCAGTTATATATGCTATTAAATTTGAATTATGGGTTGATCTTAATTATTTTAAAATGTTAGGATATTCCTTAACCATTTTTAAAAATATACTTTTATTTAATAGTTAAATGTATATTCTCATAAATCTTGATTGAACATCATTGAGTTACTTAGACATTTTTGTATTCAATTCAATTATGTGTATTGTACAACAAAATATGAATGATACGAATAAATAGCCTACCCGAAATTAACCTGTCCACCTGCCTATTATTGCTAAAACTAATTAAAAATACAAATAAGAAAGCTAGCTTCGGCCATCCAAAGCTTATATACCCTTGCAGATAATTCGTATTAACTTACAAAAATATTAAATTTAGATTTTCTTGCTTATATGTTAAAACAATCGAAATTTTAGCGACTTTCGTATTATTTTGGCATTATTTTTTTGATCCTTCCTATGGGAGCTATATAATATAGACGTCCGAATTTTGTTAAATTTAATTCGAAATTTTGAAATGTTAAAGAAAAGCTTTATCCCAGTGAAGGAAAAATGTAATAACAAGAGAAAGTCGGGTTGATGTGTCGACTATCTAATACCCGTCACTCGGCTAAAGGGAGTGCGAGGGGGATTGATATATATCATATACCGGAAATCTTTAAAGGTGTGGGCGCCAGACACATTTTAAAATTGTTAGTGGGCGGTTGTGGGCGTTAGAGGGGGCATGGCGCTCGGCTGAAATAAACTTGCGCTGCGTAGGAAGCCCAAGAATATGTGTGGAAAATCTCAACCTTCTAGCTTTTATAGTTTCCGAGATCTCAGCGTTCATACGGACGAACAGACGGACGGACAGACGGACGGACGGACAGACGGCTAGTGACCCTGATCAAGAACATATATACTTTATAGGGTCGGAAAGGCTTCCTTCTCCCTGTTACATACTTTTGCACGAAAACAATATACCCTTTTACTCTACGAGTAAGGAGTATAAAAATCAAAAAAGATGTAATTTTTTTTCCATTAATTTCCATTTAATTTTTCGACCATTCCTATATATATAGTCGCCCGATTTTTATAAAATTTAATTCGAAAATATAAATTATCAAAATAATGTTATTTCCAAGATCCGTCCGGTTCCGACTTATATACTACTTGCAATAGATAGAAGACTTTTGGGAAAGTTTCATACCGATAGCTTCAAAATTGAGAGACTAGTTTGCGTAGGAGAGACAGGCAGACGGACATGGCTAGATCGACCCCTCTAGTGATGCTGATCAAGAATATATCGGAAACGTCTCCTTCACTGCGTTGCAAATTTCTGACTGGAATCATAATTCAAATCGGACAATTAATTAAAAGTTATGAGCAAATAATGAAATTCAAGCAGTCGCTTGGCTGCATGATTGTAATATGTTCATACTTGTATACCAAAATATGATGATAGGGTATAGAATATACCAATGTAGCACAAACAGTTGGTTCAGTCTGCATACGTACGTGTCTGGTGTTGGTGAGCAGATCTTTAGCGTGGTGAAACTGCTTTGAACACAGGAATTTACGTTTGTCACGATGGGTGTCACTGACAAAGTACGTGCGCTGCCTATACCCTACCCATGTTTTCCCAATTGAACGAAAACTCAGTGATGCTATGTGAATTTGAAATAGTTCAACACCTTTTTGTTTTGTGCGTAAAAGGTACCCAATTTCTTATGTCCACTTATACATATGCATATATCGATGACATTTTTTGGGCATTGAACTTTTTAGATTTCACGCTGCCAAAGTCCTACTCTGGCGCATATAACATGAGATCATATGCGGCTTAGTGGCCAGGTGATGTCTAGCTCGACGTTATTTTGCGAATTTATTGCTCCGATGGGAATTGTTTGTGACAGTTTATAAAGGCCAATTACGTGCCCACAATAATTAATTACAACCCGATGAGAACACTGTTCGGTAATGGTTGGGTGGACTACATTTTTGCTTCGACAAAGAAGTTCTTTATTTGGTTGGGTTTTTAATCTTCTTACCGAGACACGAATAAGGCGATAAATGGGCTGAAGATGTCTAGGTGATGAGCAATTGTTACACTTGATCATTACTTCGGTGCATATGTAGTTCCTGTTACCAGTAATTTTTAAATGGCTGCGTTTTACGCATTCTGACCGCACGCTTTCTTTTATGATTCTAACGCACTGGCTATCCGTTACATTTGAACTATATTGAAAAGTACCACAAAATCTGCATACTATAACTTTGTGTTCTTCTTTTCAGAAAGCTCCTAATCTTTTAAGGAGAAGTGATGCCATTGACTCAATAAATTGGTAAGTTACACTGCGAAAAAATATCTATAAGGTTATTGAGAATTCCGCTTTAAGCCCTATTTAAATTTCTATTTACAATAATTTAAAAGTTATTCTTTTGAAAATATCTTTTGGAAGACGATATTTCGGTTGTGCTATTCGAATGTTTCATTTTCATTAGGCCCTTCTTTTTACGCTCAACAGTTAAGCTGCGGGTCTGCAGACTCACCTTAAGATTGTTGGTCACATAGTTACATAGTGTTCACCCAAACCCAAATACTGTCGTCTCGATTTAACGGCTTAACAGCTCGACCGTCCCGCCTTTTCTCTCTGTTCCAACCAGCCTGAATCACAATCCCCAATCCAATTCGGACTCCCGTACCAGTCCAGACTCACAAGATCCGTATTGTGTTTGGCCTATGGAGCTCATACATCACTTTGTTCTGAGAAAAATGAGGCAAAGAAAACAATTCCTTTAATAAAATACAATACATTTTTCTTCATCTTTGTTTTTGTCCCCTTTTGATATTGTATATACGCGTGTGTGTGTGTTTTCAGTGCATAAATTCGTTTTATTATTGCTGTTTTACTTCTTCTCCGGAGCCCTTTCTGGGTCTTTGACTCAAAATCCTTATCCCCGTGGAAATCCTCGTTTTCATCCTGTGTGCTGCTGGTCATTGTTATTTATGAATTCATGGATTCAAATTGTGAACCGACATTTGGTTCAACACAGTCTCATTTTGTTGAACTTGAAAGGCAGGGTGCCCGATCTTTGAGTTGACTTGATAGTTTTGAGAGCTTTATGGCTTAGGGTTTTTATTCGTTATTTGTACACCAAGAATTGTCGAATACATATTAAGGCGAAAGTAAAAATATATTTCCGTCACAAAATATAATGTAATAGAAGCAGTCCGAATTTTAAGAAATTAAAAATGGTTTTTATCCCGATAGCTTTTATCCCGATAGCTTAAAAATGATAGGGTAGATTGCATTGAAATGGACGAACAGGCAAACGGACACCTCAAAAATTAATATACTTTCTAAGGTCGGAATACCCTAAATCTATTTTCTGTTGGCTTTAATTCGGCATGTTTATAATAAAAACAAGAGAGAACGTTATAGTCGGGTTGATGTCCCGTCTATGTGATACCCGTCACTCGGCTAAAGGGAGTGCGAGGGAGATGGATATATACAATTTTAATCGCGCATAACTTTTTAATGAATGGTCCGATTTGAAAAATGTCTTCTACAATTCGATAGGTATAAATATACACAAAAAAATTGAATTTATATTTATCGGAAATCTTTAAAGGTGTGTGCGCCAGACACATTTTAAAATCGTTAGTGGACGATTGTGGGCGTTAGAGGGGGCGTGGCGCTCAGCTGAAATAAACTTACGCTGTGTAGGAAGTCCAAGAATATGTGTGGAAAATCTTAACCTTCTAGCTTTTGTAGCTTCCGAGATCACAGCGTTCATACAGACAGACAGACGGACATGGCTAGATCGACTCGGCTAGTAACCCTGATCAAGAATATATATATACTTTATGGGGGCGGAAACGCGTCCTTCAAGCTGTTACTTACTTTTGCACGAATACAATATACCCCTTTACTCTAGTAACGGGTATAATTATTATTATTATGGTTTATTATTGGAATGTACCAATATTGTAATATTCAGATGTAAAGTCAGCGGTTTCTTCCCCATGTATTACATTGGAAAAAATAAATGCACTAACGAAATGGGAACAGTATACTATTTCTTAGTATACGCTTTCTGTGCCACCTCCGACTATAAGCCCTTGGGCCTAATTTCGCCTCCAGTTGTTAAAGGAGACTTTTTCGTATGCGTGTATGTATGTATGTATGAGGAGCCTGCAATTAACATATTCATGCGGCGAAAACAATCGGCGACAATTTTAATGAAGGCTAAAAAGTAAATTTATTGGCCTTTTTCTGTACTCCTTTCGTAAACTTTGAAAACAGTTCATCAACTGAAACTTTGTGATCTCGTCTCGATCCCGGGAACTCATACCGCTTAGCTTTGCCTTCTGGTTTTCTTTTTGTCGCAATTCTCTGCCTCCCCAGGTATATCGTATCGATTCATTGATCTTACCGAAATGAATGATTGTGGGGCTCTGGCGGAATCAAATGGCCACATATATATACACATACATGAATAAATACTCCTAAAAACGAATCAACACAAACCAAGCCAACGACAAAGGGAATAACAATGCAAGCTCAACCTCGGACATCGTCTGGTACCTCCAGACCCTCGGCAAGTGACACTTTTGTTTTATATTCGCAACTTTTTATGCTGGATCTCTGAGAACAAAAGACGATTTCTCGGTAAAAAAAAGTGAACACAATCACAGACATACCGATTGTGTATTGTACTTGGTGATTGTACCTTCCCTCACCGTCACCCTTATCCAATCCATACCTCTTTTGCAACCTTTGGCTTCGTATTGCCACGGAGCACCTTACCGAATTGGCCGCAGTCTGGTTTTTTCAGTTTCTTGCCATAAATTTAAATTTGTCTTATTTTCGAAAATAAAAAACAATTTAAATAAAAAGCCGTATTATTAGGTTCGCGCATGTGTAAATAATATTTTAATATAAGAAATTCAAGCTCTGTTGAGGGCTGTACTCAAACACAGGTTATTGCTTATGAGGCATTCCGTGCGGTTGGTCGGAGAACTAAAAATTACTACGATGACAACAAAGGGCAAAATAGAACACTAACAATGTAAACCAAGTAATTACCGAGCTCAGCTCGACTGGACAATTATCTGAAATGCGTTTTCCCAACTGCATTATACCTATTTAATGGTAACTCTGGCTCTGATGACAACTTAAATATTGTGTGTGCGTGCAATTGCACACGAGTACACACAGCACTAACACATGTCATTTGAGTTTTAGTGTGCATGAACTGCAACCATTGTTGATACACTACACTCATACTCACTCAAACCAATAAATCGCTTAAGCATGCAAAAGCTTTCCAAGGTATGAAATCGTTGATATGTTTATACCTAAGCTGGTATGTAGTCGTTAATAGGTGCCTAAAATAAACTGTGCACTAAAGAAAACTAGCCTATTTACGTATAAACATATGTACGTATATATCTATGTAGGAGTTTTTAAGACGGTTGGCTAGGGATGATAATAAGGCAACATAATAACTCGACAAAATAGTCCATGGGCGGAGGAAAAACGCACATCGAATTCATAGTGAGACAGAAGCAAGGTACAGTAAAGTATTGTTTGATTTGTTGTACCTAAATCATCACTAGACATCGGATTTTAGATGAAATCGATTTTTTTAAATATGATTTAAAGCCACATTTGATTGGTTAAAATTTTTTTACAAAAACCTCAATGAAGTTTGGCCTAAATCTAATTATAACTTAATAAATAAAATTTGTAACTAATCAAATGTGGCTTTAAATCGTATTTAAAAAAAACGATTTCACCTAAAATCCGATGTCTAATCATCACAATTCGATCGTTTTCAAATTTACATAACTTACATTTACATTACATGACAATTTCAAAATCAGATCAGAAATATTGGTTACTGTTTTTATTATATCTATAGATGTACACACCTGTCAGTTGTAGAGTAAAAAGCCAATTCGATCTATCCATGTGCGTCTGTTGGACATTAAGGTTAGGAAGCCTGGATGGTCAGTAACGTCACTATAGACAAGCTATATTGTCTTGCTGCGTAAAAAGCCCAAGAATATGTGTGATTATTATAGAGAGATAGATCTTTTAGTTTTCGAGATCTCAGCGTTCACACGGACAGACAGACGGACATGGCAAAATCTATTCGGCTAGCGATCATGATCAAGAATACACCAAAAAAAAAAAAAACGAAAAAAAACAGGAACGTTGATTTGCCTAGTGATCATGATCAAGAATACACCCAAAAAAAAAAAAACAAAAAAAGGAGGAACATTTTTCATGATTTAAGAACAATCTGTTCGCTATTTTTCGTTCATGAAAAACTAACGCCGCGGGGTCAAATCATGAACTTTTTGGTAAAATTATGAATGCGTCACAGAAGTGTTCTAAAATTGCGAACCCGGAACCTGGCGAGCCCGGACCGAAACACTTGTAAGTCTAGTGCCCAGTTTGGTCGTACTTGAAAAATTGATTCCGTGATCTAGATGTTATGCCGTCCGCCCTTGACACAATCGAGCCCGCGAGAGGACGTCGTAAATCGCAAGTTTTAATAAAATATTATTTCTAATGTTTATACGTACTTCAAATAATAAATAAATTAAATGTCAACAACAAAAATTAAAATACAACATTTATTAATAATAAATTAACCACTTAACTTTTAAAATAAAGAAATCTTTATCAGGCGCACAGAAACCCAGGAAGAGCAAGTCCACTAATCTCGTTTATTATACCCGTTACTCGTAGAGTAAAAGGGTATATTAGATTCGTGCAAAAGTATGTAACAGGTAGAAGGAAGCGTTTCCGACCCTATAAACTATATATATTCTTGATCAGGATCACTAGCCGAGTCGATCTAGCCATGTCCGTCTGTCCGTCTGTCCGTCTGTCCGTCTGTCTGTCCGTCTGTCTGTCTGTATGAACGCTGAGATCTCGGAAACTATAAAAGCTAGAAGATTGACATTTTGCATGCAGATTCTAGGAGTTCCTACGCAGCGCAAGTTTGTTTCAAAAGGGTGCCACGCCCCCTCTAACGCCCACAATCGCTTATATACGATTTTAGAAATTTCAATATTTCGGAAAACTAAAAATGCAGTTTTATTGTGTTTATGAATACCTATCGAAATGTAGAAGAAATTTTTTAAATCGGACCATTCGTTAAAAAGTTACGGCGGATCAAAGTCCCTTTAGCTGAGTAACGAGTATCTGATAGTCGGGGCACCCGACTATAGCGTTCTCTCTTGTTTTTGTTTTGTTTTTGTATGAACTTTTTATACCCTTGCAGAGGGTATTATAATTTCAGTCAGATGTTTGCAAAGCAGTGA